GAGAAGGAGTTTTAAAAGGCCAGCCCAGAATTTGAAACCCAAGGAAGTTCTAGTCAGCAAGGAGAAGCCAATTGCTGAGAGGTCTGATAATCAATCCAAGAGCTGTGTCACTGGGTCCAGGTTTGGTCCCTTAGAGGGTGAAGCTGAGAAGGAACTCCTGTCTACAAAAGTACCCACTCTAGAGGCTAGAATTAGTAACACCAAGCCTGTTGGAGGGTCAAGCCAACATAGCAAAGATCAGGGGGAAAAAGAAGAAAAATAATTTGGTCAGTAGCTTAGTAAAGCAATTGCAAGGTTCGGAAGCTAATAATTTGGGGAGAAAAGCTTCCAAGTCTTCTACTCAGGAGAATTCTAAGGCAGTGTCACGAGTGCAACCGGGTAGAGCAACAATTTTGGTGGAAAGGGGAAAGCTCAAGGGAAGTGTACAGGAGGAGAGTCTCCAGGGAGCTAGAGCCACCATTAGCAGCATAGAGACTGTTTGTCCTAACAGGGTGGATTCTGGTGCTGTAAATCGGATTGTTCTTGGTATTAAAGATCATCCTCCTGATAAGAGTAGGGAATCCAAGGGTACAGAACAAGATGGGAGGGCAGACATGGCCTTGGATGACATCACTAATGCCATGGGCACCAATTGACTAACCTTCGCTTGGTGTGCTTCGGTTAGTTTCTGTTACCTTATTTTTTAGTTGTTTTGATGATTGTTTGCACTTGGAATTGTAGAGGAGCGGGGAAAAAGGGTTTTTCCTCTCTCGTGAAGGATTTAGTGTTTCAGAATAAAATCCAGGTTCTTGTTTTATTGGAAACTCGAATTAGTGGAAAGAAGGTTGAGAGGGTTTGTAAGAGCTTGGGCTTTGATAGTCACTTTATAAGAGAAGCAATGGGGTTCTCGGGTGGCATTTGGGTCTTATGGAACAAAAAAAGAACGTGTGTTAGGATTCTAGATGAAGACCATCAATTTGTGCATACCAATCTCAGGTGGTTGGATTCGGGTGAAGAGGAATTTTTTACATTTGTTTATGCTAGTCCTAGGAGATCCGAGATATCAACTCTTTGGGATGGGATTATGAAATTAGCTACTGATATGGCTGGCAAGTGGGCTGTGATGGGTGACTTCAATGCCTATTTGGAAGAAAGAGATAAGCTTGGGGGCTCTGGTTTGAATTGGGGAAGTATGCAGGATTTTGGAAATTGTCTAAGTGCTTGTGGGTTGTCTGATGCTGGTTTTTTTGGACCTAGACACACTTGGAGAAGAGGAAATTTACAGGAGCGTATAGACAGGTTGGTGGTTAATGAGGAGTGGTTTCTGGGCTGCCCAAACAGATCCTTGTCCCATCTTCACTATCATGGATCGGATCACAGGTCGATCATTGTAATAAATGAATACAAGGATGGGAGACTAGGGGGTACTAAACCTTTCAGGTTTTTGGCCGCTTGGTTAACAAATGATAGCTTCAATGGAGTGGTTGATAAATGCTGGGGGAATAATGCCAACTGGAATGTTGCGAAAGATGATTTCCACAAAGAAGCATCTGAGTGGCATAAATTGAAGTTTAAGGAGGATCAAAAGAGAAAGTTTAAGCTCCAAAGAAGATTAAGAGGGGTGGATGTTATTCTGTCTAGAGGTCCTGATGAGTCCCTTGAGATGCTCCACAGAGATCTTTGGCAGGAACTTAATGAGATATATGTGCAGGAGGAAATTACATAGTTTTAAAGATCTAGAAAGAATTGGCTGGCTTTTGGGGATAGGAACTCAAAATTCTTCCATTCAGCAACAGTTGCTCGGAATAGAAGAAACAAGGTGTTGTCTCTCAAAAATGATGAGGGAGAGTGGGTCCAGGAGCCTGAGGAACTTAAGGTTTTGGCTATTGGTTTCTTTCGAAGTTTATATGAGGAGGTTAGCCTTTGTTCCCAGAAGCTGTGCATTGGGAACATGTTCCCAAAAATTAACAACCAGAGTTGGAGAGACATTGGCAGGGTTCCTGGTGGGGAGGAAATTAGAAGGATCATTTTCAAAATGCAACCTTTCAAAGCACCTGGTGTTGATGGCCTTCATGCTGTCTTTTTTCATACTCAGTGGGTGAAAGTGGGGGATTCAGTAATTCGATTAATCAAGGAGATTTTTGATAATCCGAGAAAGGTAGCTGAGATTAACCAAACTTTGATTTGCTTAATTCCAAAAGTGGACAACCCTGAGATGATCCACCAGTTTAGACCGATTAGCCTTTGTAATGTCAGTTACAAAGTCATTACCAAGGTTATTGCTGAGAGGTCGAAGTTTCACATGAGTACATTGATTATGCCAAATCAATGTAGCTTTGTCAAAGGGAGACATGCTTCAGATAATATCATTATTAGCCAGGAAATATTTCACTCCATGAGATCTAAGAAAGGGAAGAAAGGATGGATGGCTATAAAGATGGATTTGGAAAAAGCATATGACAAGTTGAGTTGGCAGTTCTTGGAGGAAACCTTAAGGGATACAGGAATCCCTTGTAATCTGGTGGATCTTATCATGGAGTGTGTGACTTCTCCCTCCATGAATATTTTGTGGAATGGAGTTCAAATTGAAGAGTTTAAGCCTTCAAGAGGGATCAGGCAAGGTGACCCCTTATCCCCATACCTTTTTGTGTTATGCATTGAGAGGATGGGCCACCTTATCAATTCGGCTGTGGAGAGAAAAGACTGGCTGCCTGTGAGGCTGGGGAAAACTGGACCTCCAATTTCCCACCTCTTTTTTGCTGATGATCTGCTACTATTCTCATAAGCTAATGCTGATCAAGCTAAGCTGGTGGTGGATATCCTTGACCATTTCTGCCATGCATCTGGTCAGAAGGTTAGTTTGAATAAAACAATATGTTTTTTTTCAAAAAAATGTCAACCATACCAGACGTAGTGATCTCAGTCATGCTTTGGGCTTTTCTATCACAGCTGACTTGAGTAAGTACCTTGGAATCCCTATCTTACACAAAAGGGTGAACAAGACCACATTTAGACACATTTTAGATAATACTAACAGGAAGCTAAATGCTTGGAAGGAGAGCTCTTTGTCTATGGCAGGGAGGCTGGTTCTCACTAAATCTGTGTTGGCTGCACTCCCAATTTACTCTATGCAAACTTCTTTGATCCCAGTAAGCACTTGTGAGGCTGTGGAGCAGAAAATGAGGGGTTTTATTTGGGGCTCAAGTCGGGAAAAAAGAAGAATCCATGCTACTCCTTGGAGTATGGTTTGTAGAGCAAAAAAAGATGGTGGACTGGGTATAAAAAACCTGAGAATGACAAACAGTGCGAGCCTGATGAAGATTGGTCACAGAATACTCACCCACAAAAATGATCTGTGGGTCCAGATTCTGAAAAGCAAATATAAAGTAGGAGATGGGCTAATTTCTAGCATTCCTAAGAAGACTGGGTGCTCGAACCTCTAGTTGGGGCTATCCAAGGTCTGGCAGAAAGTCTATGAGGGTTCAAGGTTAATGGTGGGTAATGGATTTGGCACATTATTCTGGAAGGACAAATGGCTATCAATTGGTCCTCTAGAGCTGCACACTACTCAGCTGATTCTCCCTGATGCCCTTGAGGTGAGTTTAGCTGATATGGTAAAGGCTAATGGTGAATGGAAGTGGAATTTGTTTGTGAATTTATTATCCCAGGAAGCATTGAATACTATTGCTGGGTTTTGTCCCCCTAATCCGAATGGTGATGATGACAGTATTATATGGGACCTATCCCAGGATGGGAGTTTTTCCACAAGATTAGCTTTTAAGATGCTTTATAACACGAATGAGGAGGATAGCCAGGTGCATTGGAATACTGTATGGGAATGGGAGGGCCCTCCTAGAGTTAAAACTTTCCTTTGGATGCTCTTTGGGGAAAACATTCTAACAAATATGTGAAGAGTGCAAAGACATTTGGCAACCTCAAGTGTGTCCTAGATGCTTGGCTGCTCCTGAAAGTTGTATTCATATGTTGAGGGAGTGCAGCTGGTCGAGGAAAATTTGGAAGTCCTTTATTGACCCTGGCAGCTGGTCAGAATTTTATAATTTACCCCTGCATTCTTGGCTCTATGAAAATCTGTCACCAGCTCTCTGTTTGCTGAAGGGGCCGAATGTTGTATTTTATTTGGCTTAGTGTGTTGGTTCATATGGAAAGAGAGGAACAAGCTGGTTTTTGAAGGAGAAATTCCTGGTGAAGGTGTTACTGCCAGGCTAGCTTGCTCTTATTTGGCTAACCATTTGGAAGCTAAAACCATGTATAGCAAGGCTGGTCTCCAGAGTAATTTGAAAAAGGAAGTGCTGATACAGTGGTCCCCTCCACCAAGGGGATGGATAAAAGTTAATTCTGATGGCTCAGCAAAGGTAGATGGTATGCGGTGTGGATGCGGAGGCGTGCTGCGTGATGATACTGGCCACTGGATCAGAGGTTTTGCCAGAAACCTTGGAGTTTGCAGTTCTGTCCAAGCCGAACTTTGGGGACTTTTGTTGGGGCTTCTAATGGCTTGGGATCTTGGGTACATGAGAGTGATCTTGGAAGGAGACTCGAGGATAGCCACTAAGATGATTAAGGAGGGAATCGCGAGTCACCATCCTTTAGCTGGACTTGTGAATAAGATTAACCAGCTTAGGAGTTTATACTGACAGGTAGAAGTTTTGCATACATACAGAGAAGGTAATAGGACAACTGACTCGCTTGCTAACTTTGCTACTTCTGTGGGTTGGGAAACTGTTGTGTGTTGTGTTTGAACATCTTCCTGAAGGATGTATAGGAGTTGTTGAGAGTGACTTTAGAGGAGTCGGCTGGCCTAGAATGGTCAGAGATATACAAACTTGTAGTTTGCTTTTCATTTCCTTTTGTATTCAAAAAAATAATAATAAAAAGAAGCTCTAACCGACCGGTTTTCTCGAAAGCTTAGGAGAGGAAGAGAATTTCAAGAAACAAGGCTAATATTTAACGGCAAAAGTTTCAATAATAACTCCTTCATATTTGAGAAAAGCAAAGAGCAGCCAAACAACATCCAACTTGAAAATTTACTCCTTAAATATACACATTCTGTGACATGTAGGGCCAAAAACAGAGAAGAAGAAAAAATAGTATTAAGAAATCATAAGCAATAACAAAAAAAAAAATAGAAATAAATCTACAGAACTAACCTAAGGGCTCAACATTAAGAATACAGGTAAACAGCCTCAATCAATAACAGGTGACGATAAATCAAAATCAAAATCCTTAAATGCTACAAAAGAAAATCTGGAATTACTGGTGTTTGGGAAACCGCATTTAAGGGTGAATTCGCTCTTTGATGTTTTTTATGCCTACCATGGCGGTGGCTACTCTTTTTCTTTCCCCTCTTATCATGCTCTTCACCTTCAACAATCTTCTCTTTACCTCTCTGTCTTCTCTCTTTAATATGACTATGATTTTTGCTACTTGAATTCGGATTTTCAAGGTCATCTGCTTCGCCTAGATTTTCTTTCATTTCGGATGGAAGATCTGTGCTTAGTTTCTTTTTCTCTTTTCGCTTACTTGATGACTTACCAGAAGGATAACTTCGAGACAAACTTGAACTGGCTTCACTTCCTAGAAGAACATCTTTTATGGCACCAGAAAGAGAATCATTTGTTGTCTCTGACCTTTTGACTGAAATTGGTGTAACATCTCCATCATCCAATTTCACCACTACAGGCCTGGGCTTCGTTTGGTTTGTCCTTTTCTTCAAAAGAAGTGATTGTTCTGTCAGCTTGGCTAGCTCTGCAACTTCATCATTTATATTAGAGTTTGACTTTGGGTCATTTGCAGGAGGATAATCATCAGGAACAATCTCACTCTTCTCTGAAGGAAGGTAATATAATCCATGCCGCTTTCGGTGTTCAAGCAAGGATGTTGATTCATTTAATGGCCCTAAATCTTCATTTTTCAGAAGATTAGATGAAGAAGATGAAGAAGCATCCGAAGTAGTAGCAAAGTGAGGGCCTCCTATGGCAAATGAACTTGATGAAGGTAGTTCAATATCACCACATATTGCTTTTAAGTCATCAAGATTCTCTTTAAGAACTAATCCATCTGGTACAGCAACTTTTCCCTGTGCATTTATCGAGACTGGACCAAGTTCCATGGAAAAAGCATCACGCATCAATTTGATAATAGCTGAAACATGAGTCACTTTCTTGTCCATAATGTCCACATTCTGAACTGAATTATCAATTATTTCTGCCTTAATCAATTGAACAAAGGCAAGCATGTTATGTGCTCTCTCCAGTACCTCAACATCCTGATTTGCTGTTAACGGGCCTAAAATTAATTCCATTCGATTTAATAGGCTTACAATTGATTCATGCATGAAATTCTTCTTCACCAAAAGAGTAGGCGCAAGTGCTTGACCATGAGTGACAACTCTATCTTTGTCGTTTTCAACAGAAAGATCTTCAGAAGATTCGGTTGTGTTCCTTGGGTTAAAACCCTCATCCTGTTCATAACTTGAACCTTCACATGTTGCCAATTCAGGAGCCTCGGGGTCTTTTTTTACAATAAACAACTCTGACTGCCCCCCAGCCAAATTATCTGAATATATGGATGCAGTACCTTCATTTTGCAGAATGTAACATTCCAGGCAAAAAATTAAAATTTTAAAAACAGAATTAATGTAAACTGCTCTAACTGATGGTGGCAATAGACTGGTCCGTGGCTGTAGGAGTGCATCCATGAGTTCAAATGGATTGCTTGCAACCTTAACGTACTCTCCAGCAACCCAAGCAGCAGCACACAATATCCTATGCAAGTACACATTACCCAGTAATGCAGGGTCGATCAACAGATCACGACCAACCCGAACAAGCTGCAATCTAGCATCCTTAACTCTCATGCCGATATCAATAAGCTGATTCTCAATTTCCTCACCCTTTTGGCAATTAGGAATCATGGACATTTCTCCAAGAAGGGATACATACCAATCAAAGTCAACAACAATCTCATATACATTTCTGCCACATGTTGTTAATATGGAACCCAAAATCTCATTGCAGAATTCCGGGTCAGATTTCAATGCATAATTGAGCAACACCCTGGAGATTTCCGCCACATTGGTCTCAGACACCATGGCCATCAACAAATGCAGAGACTCGACTTTGATATTTGAATCTTCATCGCTCAAGGACTTAATCACAGCCTCCTTATTCTCCGAGACCACCCACGAGTGCTTCGGCACAGCAACCGAGAGCGCTTGAAGCCCTAGATACCTAAGATTGGGATCCTGGTCAATCAGCAACTCCCTAATCTTGGAAGCCGCCAGCTTAACAGCAGACTCATAATCACTCAAACAAGTGAGCACAGTCCTAACACACTCAAATATCAACGACTGCGCTCCAGATCTCATCATATGTTCACAAACAGGTTCAACAATCCTTTTCCCCAACCTGGGTTCCAAAGGAGCCAACTTGGAAAATATTTTAAGCACCTTGATCAGAACCCAATTGTTTCTAGAATCAACCAAAATTCTATAAAACTCGGGTGCCAAGGGAAGATAGGACACGGGATCCTTGGAAGCCAGCTCGCAAAAAACCCCAATAACCGCAGTGAGAATCTGAGGATCGGAACTCTCAAGATTTTCAACCAAGCGCTTGAAGCAAACCCTAACAGCGTCAGGGTACTTATCGAAAAGCCTCAAAACGACAGCAATAGCTCTCTTCCTAACGAAAACCCTAGAAGTGGAAAGCAAGTTGAAAATCTCGGGGGTCAAATCCCTAGCGAGATCGAGGGTGGCAATTCTGGAGAAGCAATGGAGGGCGAGGCTTACCTCGAAGTCGTTATTGGTGGAGAGGTCCTTGCGGAGCTGATTGGTGATGAGAAGGAGCACGGGGGTGTCATCGTGAAAGGAGTGTGAAGCGGCGTCGTATCCTATCCTCTTGTGTGCGAAGCGAGAAGATGACATCACCTCCACAACGTGGAACGAAGCCCAAGACATGTCGACGCCGTAGATGGCGGAGAGGTACCATAGCTTGTGAAGAGCAGTGGACTTTGTGTGTGTATCGGTGGACTTGATCTCGCGCCGGATCTCCTCCGTGGCCTTCGAGATGAAGGTCGATTCGCCGATCAGTTGGAGGCGCATGGCTTTTATCAGATCCTCCAGCGTTCGTTGGAACAGGTTCTCCATGATCGAAGACCCCGCCATTGAATCATCAACAACAGGGTGAGACTCTCAAATCTGAATACTGAATTCGATTCCCCCATAAACAAGTGTCGTACGATTCTTAATGGGCTCAATATCTTGGGCTAGCCCAAACCTTAAAGGCCCATATCAACAGCATTTGCCCCAAATCCCAAATGACAAATCTAGTTCAGCATGGATCGAGATCAGTACCCACTACCCACTAGAGTTCTTTTCTATTCTTTTTCTTCTTTTAATTTATGTATGGGGACATAATGTTCTCTTTTTGAATATAATATATTTGAATATTATGGGAGGCGAATTTTTTTTCCAAACTGTCACGATAGTTAATTACTATGAACTGGACACGTGTCATATTCTTTTAATTTATGTCTGGCTCAATAGCTTGGTTCAACCAAGGCTTGCAACCCAAAGTCGTTACATGTGTTTCATTTATAGTAGCTGACTATCTTAGTGACTATGGTATTGTATGATTTTCCAAGGCAAAAGAGCCCCTGACCAATTAGAAACAAAAATAAATAGAAACATAGTTCCAATAAATGGAACCCACGGACCATATTCTTCGCCAATCTGAGTTTTGCTCACATCTCGAATGAATGAATTCAAGGACACATTCAAAGAAATTTTGTGACAGTTTGAAAAAAAATTGACTCGATGATATTTAGATATATTATAATAAAAAAGGGAAGTATGATCAATATCACTCGTTGATTAGTTAAATGACTTATTTGAAGAATGATTTGACCACCATTATGTTGGTAGATATGATAGCTGAGCACTTGTGCTTGTTTTTATCCTCACTTTTTCATCATCAATTATTATCATCAATTATTTGTCGACACTAAATGGAAATCTAAGTTTGCTCGCCAAAGCACCTCACTTACTTAAGTGAGGTTAAATCACGTTGGGGCCAGCCAATATATTCTTACATTACAGGCATTAAGAGGCTCTTTCTCAAAAGTTCGTTTTCCTTTCCTGTTGTTTTAACTCGGTAAGATTATTAATACGCTCTATTTTAATTTTTCTAATTACATTCAAGGCATACTTAACTCTACTTTCTGCACAATTTTCCTCATATCATTATCAGTTTTTATATAGTCATAGTGGCATTTAATTAATATTTTGAGGCCAACAATTGACAATTTCTTACTATTTGCAATTTACAAACTCTTCTTCTTACCAGTTGTATTTTGACCGTATATTGGATCATATTTCATGATTCTTTGTATTAATAATGAATTTTTTTATCTTTTTGTCCCCTACACTTTTTTTTATTTTAAAATGAATTTGAATATCAAAGTGTCATTTACAAGTATTCTTTAAATGCAGAATTGAAAAAGTATTATACCACTTCTTTACATAATAGTAGCAAAATTCGTTGACCATCAAGAGTGAAGAAGTGTGAGCATTACCAACTTAAAAGAATTTTCAAAGAAAATTCGGAGACATCAAAGTGCCCATGATCATAAAACTCATGACTCCCTCTCACTTATATTATAAAATATAAGTTTAAAACCTCATAATCATTACCATTCCACTTGTAAACAACAAAACTTACAAATCTGCTTTGGATATTCCCAGTATCATGTATTCTATCTAAAGAACACATCAGTGTGAGCTTCCCTAAGATGGGCTTATCATTGCAGTCATTTTGCTTCACAATCTATCATTAGGATTGCTGGTTGGTTCTCATTATTCAGATCATAATTGTCCACTCAAATTTCACTAATTACAGTACATTTTTCTCAGTTGCTTTATTTAGTACCTGTTTGGATCCTTTTATTTTTAGCTTCTCTTTTCTTTATAAGTAAAAGTTATGCCAAATATGTTTTAAGAAAAACTCTTATAATAAAAAAAATTATGATAAAAAAAAGCCAAAAGTTTCTACGAGGAGTTTTTTTTTATGTACTAGGAGTTTTTTTTTTTAAGTTCTTATTAACTTTTCTTAATTTGTGTATGTTTTTTTTTAAATAAAGAGTCATAGAAATATTGAAATATATATTTTAAGTAACTTTTAAGCTAAAAAAATTATATAATCACCAAATAGTTTTAACTTTTTCTTTAAACTCTTTTTTTTAGTTTTACCTTAAAAATAATTTTTAACTTAAAAAAAATTCAAACTTGCTCTTAATGGAGCCTCTAGGAGCTTGAGTATTATGTAAGGATTTTACCCTGATTTCTCCAAATGTATTATATTCTCGGAAATCAATTTGTTTTAGAAAATTTCAAACTGTAATAAATTAAAAGAAATTTAAAAAGAAAAAGGTTCTATTTACTATCTTTTTTCTTACTTTCTTACTATCAAATCTTAACTATTAATTTTTATTAATCTAACCGTTATAATTATTGAAAATTAAAAATTAATTAATAAGTATGACCCAATAAATTATAAATGTTTAATTGATGAAAATTAACGGTTAAGACTTGATATTAAAAAAAATAGTAAGAATAACCTCCCCATTTCGAAAAAAAAAAAAACCAAAACACAAAATAATACAAACGTGTTAGGATATGAATCATCGATTAAACGCAAATTAAGAATTATACTCAACATAATAATTATGATACGAGGTAAATGCGGGCTCAGAATTTCATGAGATGCAATGTTAGTGGATTAACCATTTACAACTTGGTCATCCGCAGTGCTTCAAAAGTGGGTCTAAACTCTAAATTAATTTGATATCAACAAGCACATTAAACAAAAGGCATATACTGAGATAGTGGGACGGGGGGGAAGTAAGGAATGAAAATGGCCTAAACAATTATGTATTATATAGAGATATCACGGTAAAGTAACATAATAGTTCCGGATTGATTATTGAAGGAATGGATAAGGAATCTCCAACTAAAGTGGGATGAAAAGTCTTAGAAACATAACCTCAGTGGATCCATTGAGTAAAATGACATGTCAATATTTTAATGCTAAGATGTGTGCCATAGATGTGTCTGACACACGGGCATGTAAAGGAGAAGATAAAGATGACAGTTACGTTCATCTTTCTTTTATTTTTATATATGTATTCATTAGTTTTTTGGGGCTTAGTGTACTCATCTTTTGTAAATCTTCCTAATTCTTTAGGAGTAAAATAAAAAAATTAAGAATGGTTTAATTGCTAATTTGGCACAAGATGACTATTACTTTTATTAAGAAATCACATACACAACATAAATGGGTTTTATTTCTCAATTTTCACAGCAGAGAAATTTGTTTTTGTAGCTGAGACAATAAATAGTGAGCCCTATTATTTAAAATAATAATAAAAAAGTAAATTATGAAAATTGAAGTGTCAGTTGAAAAAAAAATTCTTTGCAGTAAAATGAGATTAATAAGGCACAACATAAATATGGTAAAATCTACTTTCCTGATTTTGAATAATGGTCTTCCAACCACTTTTCAAGCATACACTTACTCTATCATCAAGAAGCAAGTTTTATATCTGCGGATGAGAATTGTTCGGGTATATTCAACCATATAAGGATACTTTGAGGGGATTGATATCTTGATTGGCTTATGGCCAATACTCTAATCACTATGCACAAACAATAAGTTCATAGTCAATACGTGAGTGTATGTATATTGTTAGCAGTAATAGTAAATAGATCAAAAATGTGTACTAGGATCTCTATTATTTATAAGGATTACTTTTGTAGACTTTGGCCTTTGAGATCTCACAATTGGACTTGGGTGTTTGAGATCTCATAATTGATAGAGATAAAGATCTTATCCCTTGACCCTCTCTAAATTATATAATTGCGATATCTCTATCCAATCTTAATAGTAATATAATTGCTAGGATATGAATCCAGACCAAATCTAATCAAAGAGTCAAACAGTTTAGTTCATATTTACACGTAAAATTCCTTCTAGTAGAACATGCACAGTCTGGGGAAGACTAACTTTTTCCCTCTGATTATTCATGTAAGCACAGTGCACAGCCTCTCTAAATTATGATAATGGAAAAAAAAAAACATAGTTTTTGTGGAATATAAAACAATATATAGCTTACTAGAATTAGAGATGTGCAAAATAACTAAAAAACTGAACCGAATCATAAACTGAACCGTTCTTAAAATAACTGATTTTTAAAAATCAATTCATAAACCGAACTGATTTTTAAAGAACCAGTTCATGAACCGAATCGATTTTTAGAATCAATTTAAGAACCGAACCGTTTCTGAACTGAATCGAACCATTTCAAACCGAACCAAATTGAATTTTATGACTTTATTATTTTTATTTTTTTTTATTTTTTTCAAAACAGAGTCGACCCGAACCGGTTTCGAACGGAACCGAATTGTTTCCAAACAAACCAAACCAATTTTGAACCGAACCATTTTTGAACGAACTATTTAAATCAATTCGGTTCGATTTTTCAAAAAATTCGGTTCGATTCGATCCATACACATCCCTACTGAGAGTCCGACTCAATAGTTATTTACAAAAAAAGTATAATTTGTTCCCTAACTTAATTTTGGGTAACTTGATCTTAGCGTGATTTGCTTCATATTAAATATTTCTTTTTATTACATACTTTATCTGATTTTTTTTTTCATCTAAAGACACTTCTAACGTCGTTAAATATTGAGCTAATTTATTTATTTTATCTCAGTGAACATGTAAAAAAACAGGGGAAATAAGTGAGTAAAAAAAAGAGGCACGAGGAGATAAGTGTTAAAATATTAAACAGAGAGGTTTTGAACTTTTCCTTTATAATAATTAAAAAAAAACTTAATGTTATGAACAATATGGAACTAAACAAGCTAATGAGCGTCTACCAAAAAAAAAAAAAAAACAAGCTAATGAGTTTTTTGACGATTGCAAACAAATAAAAATAAAAAAGGTGTTCTGTTTAACATTCACTTGAATTTGTTCGCTGGAAAAAATCTTAATATCTTATAAAAAGAATGAGAATTGAGATAAAATCATTATATTATATAGCATTCTTGCGATGCATTTAAATTAAGATTTTATAATACGGTGTTCTTCATTTTTTTTATGAAATGTAAAAGGAATTA